CCTGCAGATTCCTCTGGAGGCTGGAAACTGGAAGCTCTGTGAAGGCCGTCGCCGCAGATCTCATTGCCTCCACGATTCCCTCCTGCATTCCTCTCGCTGCAAAAATCTCTGCAAATCACATTCCTTTCGGGAGCTAAACAAATTTCAATAAAATGAATTTCAAGTGGCAGACAGACAGACTTTTCCATGCCTGCTGCCTGCTGCTTTGATAAAAATTTCTCAGGGTTTACTGAGTTACAATATGATAAAAATCTAGATATGAGGGGCATTTCACTCAAACTCTGGAAGGCGATGGAAATTGCAATGCTATAATCGTATTCGTATTCCAATATTCCTCAGAGCTCGAAACATAATCTCATGTTTATCGTCTATCATGCGGTAGTGTTTTCTCATCTTTCAATTCATCTGAATTCGCTCATTTGTTCGATTGTGAGAAGTATTCCTCTGATGAACGAACCCATCCACTGGCCAGTGGGCCTTGCATTTCGGTTCGTTCCCCAAGAGTGCCATCCCATCCCCCTGCCTCTTTCCACATCAATCCCTTAGTAGTCTCAACATCCGTCGTTTGATTGTGTAGCTACTTGGGCAGTGGTTTCCTCGATCTTCTTCCTTTGCCGCATGCCTGACAAACTACAGAACTGACATTAGCAGGATCCTAATGTGTGCAAATTATGAGGCAGTCATAATCTCATCCTCATGCTCGCCCTGTGCGTTCGGATTCTGGTCATAATGTTAAAAATAAATTTCCGCTTACACGGTCATCCCACATCCTACATCCATATTCCTGTTGAGCGGAAATTGATGTTTGGCCACAGACGACACAGGCAGTGGCAGGAAGGCAGAAGGAGGAGTGGGAGCAGGAGGTCATTGTGCGCCAAAAACATTTTTAATTGAAACTCATAAATAAGGACCTCCTCTATTGAGGAGGACTCCGAGAGGCAGAAGGGGGAGGCACCAGAAGGGGCTGCTTGGATAACCATTTTTAATGAATTTGAACTTGAAACCGAATGCAATGCAGCAGATAGCTGCTGCTGCTGATGCTGCCTCCCTTTTGTTGCACAAAAGCTGGTTGCCACAGAAACCTCCGCTCCGCGCCGCGCCGCTCCGTGCAGTGCCGTGCAGTACCGTGTTCTCCGTCTCAAAGCGATGGGAAAGGCAAGGCAGATTGATAATGGCGGTTGCCTGTGCGCTAGCCAGTGGCAGGAGTAGGGGTTCGGGGTGGGGGCATGGGGCAGGCTGCCACTGGGGGACTTGTTAGGGTTCGTTGGTTCTTCGCTGGAGCTATTCTTGTGTTGTGTGTGCTTAACCCCCCCCACCCATGCACCCCTCCCCCATCCTCGTTTGAACGAGTGTTTTGCCGTTTAAATATTTGCCTTTGATTATCCACATACGATATAAGCAAACACATACTTCATGCACCATACATCCCATGTAGTCGTACCATTTATACATATCTGTGGATACATATATCCATAGATACTCGTACTCGTACTCGTATCTCCTCATGCACGATTGCCCGGCACCAATCAGTGTGGGGTGAGGGGCAACAGAGGGTAACAGAGTAACAGGGTGAAGGGGCAACAGGGGCAATAGGGTGTGCGGCAAATAATGAAAAACTGTTCGACTCTCTGTCTCTGGAATGTCGTCTGCTGAATTTTGTTGCCGCAGCAACGAGATTTTTATGCCAACTTTAATGAAAAAAATACAAAAACAAATACAAATACAACTACAAATAAATGAAAGGAGGTATCCTTATGGAGATGTACGCGTGAGAAGGGGGGCCAGACAGACACAGACATAGAACAGCGAGAGAGAGCAGAGAGTTGATGAGATGAGCAAATGTCTGCCTAAAGACTAATGCTGATGTAGAACAACAGCACCTCCTCCTTGGACTCCTTTCACTCCTTCTAATCCTTCTGCTGCTACTGCTGTCTCCTGTGGGATGGATAGGATATCGCTCACTTCTGAAAATATACCTATAAATATACAATGCCACCTCCATCCTGTACCTGCACTAAGCATCAGCCTTGGATTTGGCAACTTTCCTAAACGAATTTAGGCCATAAAAGTGACAGTTCTCCGCCTTCCGTCATTCGAAAGTTGGCGCTTGCCTCAGTCACATCTAAGCGATCGCAATCCCTGTGTACTATCTGTGGACTACAGGGTATCATTGCAGAACAGACCCGTCAGCCCCAGCCCGCATTCTCCATCCTGCCTTCCAGCCAAACAAAGCGGCGTATGAGTGATATCTAAGCTGCGGCTCCTCCTCAGCCTCCCCTCTGCCTCTGGCGTTTCATTCGGAGTTTCAGAGAGAACGCGGGGTGGCGGTGGCAGAGGTCCTAAGTTATTGAAATATACAAAAACCATGCAACACGCACACACACACACATACACATACAAATAGAGGACACAGAGCCTTTGTGTGCGGCGGAGTTTTGCTCACTTTTCTTCCTACTTTCAGTTTTTATACCCGATACTCAAAATGAGTATTGGGGTATATTAGATTTATGGTAAAAGTGGATGTGTGTAACGTCCAGAAGGAATCGTTTCCGACCCCATAAAGTATATATATTCTTGATCAGCACCAATAGCCGAGTCGATTGAGCCATGTCTGTCTGTCCGTATGTCCGTCCGTCCGTCTGTCCGTCTGATCGTCTGTCCGTCCCCTTCAGCGCCTAGTGCTCAAAGACTATAAGAGCTAGAGCAACGATGTTTTGGATCCAGACTTCTGTGATATGTCACTGCTACAAGAATAATTCAAAACTTTGCCCCGCCCACTTCCGCCACCACAAAGGGAGAAAATCTGTGGCATCCACAAGAGAAAACTAAAAACGCAGAATCGTAGAAGATGACTATATCTTCTAGAGTGCAAAATCTGAACCAGATCGTATAATTATTATAGCCAGAATCAAGAAAACAATTTCATTCTTTCTCGCTCTGTCTTTCTCTAACACACAGGTTTCATGGTCGGTTTCGCCAATTGCAAAATATGAGTTCAAGGATCTCAGAACCCATAAGAGCTAGAGCAACCAAATTTGGTATCCACACTCCTTTGATATCGGACCTTGACCGTTTTGTGTCAAAGTTTCGCCACACCCCCTTCCGCCCCCGCAAAGGACGAAAATCTGGGGCATCCACAAATCTCAGAGACTATTAGGGCTAGAGTAACCAAATTTGGTACACACACACCTTTAAGATGTCACTATAAAACGTATATCTTAAAATTTCGCCCCACCCCCTTCCGCCCCACAAAGAACGAAAATCTGTTGCATCCACAATATTGCAGATTCGAGAAAACTAAAAACGCAGAATCATAGATAATGACCATATCTATCAGATTGCTGAATTTGGATCAGATTGGATAATTTTTATAGCCGAAAAGAAAAAAAAACAATTTTCAGTGGCTACGCAGCGCCCGACGTCACGCTCAGACTGATTTTCTGTCTCTCTCGCACGCACTCTTTGTCGTTTCGTTTAATATTAGCGCCGTCTGCCGGAGGAGAGCCATACTGACTTAGTATCGGGTATAACTGTAGAGTTGCGGTGTCCGCAGCAACTCACAACGTTCCCCCTCGTTTGTTATTTTTTGCTGAGTTATCGCTGAATATTACTCCATGGAGAGTAATACTAGCAGCAACAACAACTGTAAAAGGCAGCCCCCCCCCCCCCCCCCCCCCCCCCCCCTCAGTCCCCTCTCTCTCTCTCTCTGGAGACCCTTCCCCTCTGGCCAAGTAAACACTTCAGGAGACCCAGACTCAACAGCGTTCCACATATCGCAAAAATGTCGCGTCGCATCGCCCGCTTCTCGTTTTCCATTTATATGGGAGTTTTTTGCCAAAACGAAAAAATAGCAACAACAATGGCGCAGCCATGCACACACACGCACAGGCACACACACACATGCTAAGAGCGAAAGCCATTATGGCATCATCACATGGCTATGGACACGCGTCTCTCGTCGGCATGAGGAGGGGTATCCGTATGCCTCCCAAGCCTCCAAAGCCTCCCAAGCCTGCTGTTTACGCAAAACAAAAGTCAAAAGATAAAATTACATTAATTATTGTGCGGGGGAAAGAGAGAGAAACGCTAGAGATGGTATCGTGTATCCGAATTATCGCGACGCAGGATACCATACCAATGGAATATTGGCATTCCTAACAGAGACAATCCAACACGATTCTATCACGATTGATCCTTTACCCCTTTGGAGGTTGGCATGCAACGACTGCATCTTTCAAAAGGCGGTGCAACTACTGCCCCATCAAGTGGCCCGTGTGACAACAGCAGAAGGCTGAGCGCTTGAGACGAGAGTTCTCCCACACGATTGCATTTTTTGTAATCTTTAAAGAGTGGATCGGAATCAGTTCTTCGATAATCGGTATTTAATCTGTCAGATATCGTGCCCTTCAAACACACATCGTGCCATGTCGTGCCATGTCGTGCTGTGCCGTGTCGCCTCGTGACTCCACCTCTAATACTCATATGCATATGCACCCCAGTGCGAAAGAGAAAGCCTGAGAGTAGAGAGCCCTTCGGACAGAGACAGTGCGAAACTAACAGCGAGAGGGAGACGCTGGACCATTTGGACATCAGAGAGTACTCCTATTTCAGTAGAAAGAGGTAAGAGGTAAGAGGTAGGAGAGGCCAGGGGCAGGATTCCACCATGGAATCGAGAGGGCACTAGGGTTACTCGCAGAAACGGCAACAGTCGGGAGTATTTAACTAACCGCATTCTGTGGAGCCTTCAACAATTTCCAGCGATTAGCACTAATCTTTTATCGATTCGATTCGATTCGCTTCGCCAACTTCGATCTCCAACTGCGACAACTGAGACATGTTCATATAGTAGGCTGTGGAATCGAACAAAAGCATAGACAAAATTTGGTAGGGAAAATATTTTGGGAAATATTCATTCGGTCCCCAGGCCTGGACTGGGGAGCATCAAAATTTCCAGTGTTCTGTTTTCTGTTCTGTTTAGTGAAAAAAATTAAATCAAACAAATTTTAAAAAAGTGAAAAATAATTTCCGGACTATTAAAAAAAAAAATAATCAAACAAAAATAAACTAAATTACACTAAAAATGATTCTCAAAATAAGTACGCGGAAAAAGCAAAAACTCAGCCGAGGCTCTTCAACGATTTTAATCTTTCGGTTTTCTCCTGCCTCCCCTGTAGGATACAGGATCCGCTGATCCTTGTTTCTGTACAGGCCTGTTCCACAGATGGATGAAAGGAGAGGAAGATACCTCCAGGCACCCACACCCACACCACCACACCACCACACCGCACGCACACATTCGCAATCGAACTCGAACTCGAACTCGTCGCTTTTGCACAACTATACTATTGCAGGATGGAACCGGCCGAAGGCACAGGGGATTGCATCCTGGACAAGAGCTTCATTGGGCAGATAAACCAAGAAGCGAACTATAAGCAGCCTCTACCTTGGTGTGAGTCGGGACCCAATTAGGATTTGAATTGGATTGAATTAATCCTTCTCTACTTTTCCATTTACAGATTGAAGGCTCTGCTGTCGATGGCATCGGCACAGGATCCGCTGATCCTTGTTTCTGTACAGGCCTCTTCCACAGATGGATGAAAGGAGAGGAAGATACCTCCAGGCACCCACACCCACACCACCACACCACCACACCGCACGCACACATTCGCAATCGAACCCGTCATCGCTTTTGCACAACTATACTATTGCAGGATGGAACCGGCCGAAGGCACAGGGGATGGCATCCTGGACAAGAGCTTCATTGGGCAGATAAACCAAGAAGCGAACTATAAGCAGCCTCTACCTTGGTGTGAGTCGGGACCTAATTAGGATTTGAATTGGATTGAATTAATCCTTCTCTACTTTTCCATTTACAGATTGAAGGCTCTGCTGTCGATGGCATCGGCACAGGATCCGCTGATCCGTGTTTCTGTACAGGCCTGTTCCACAGATGGATGAAAGGAGAGGAAGATACCTCCAGGCACCCACACCCACACCCACACCACCACACCGCACGCACACATTCGCAATCGAACCCGTCATCGCTTTTGCACAACTATACTATTGCAGGATGGAACCGGCCGAAGGCACAGGGGATGGCATCCTGGACAAGAGCTTCATTGGGCAGATAAACCAAGAAGCGAACTATAAGCAGCCTCTACCTTGGTGTGAGTCGGGACCTAATTAGGATTTGAATTGGATTGAATTAATCCTTCTCTACTTTTCCATTTACAGATTGAAGGCTCTGCTGTCGATGCCATCGGCACTCGACACTGTGGGCTCTGGTCTCGGCTCTGAATATCGTGGATCACATTAAGAAACAACAACAAATGAACAGGGATTATTGCCAGCACAGAACACCAATCGACACATTTTATCGACTTTGTTTATAGCAAATGGTTAAGATCATTAAAAATTTGATTTAATTAACCATCCATCGATTGTTTTCTTTGATTGTGATTCGTGTGATTCTCCTTTGTGGCAGGGCACAAGAGCATTTGCCGCCTGCAGATTCCTCTGGAGGCTGGAAACTGGAAGCTCTGTGAAGGCCGTCGCCGCAGATCTCATTGCCTCCACGATTCCCTCCTGCATTCCTCTCGCTGCAAAAATCTCTGCAAATCACATTCCTTTCGGGAGCTAAACAAATTTCAATAAAATGAATTTCAAGTGGCAGACAGACAGACTTTTCCATGCCTGCTGCCTGCTGCCGCCTGCCTTCACTTTTTTATGTGCCTCATGCGGCGCTGCTTTCATTTTCATTTTCGTTTTTAGTGGCAATATGCAAAAGGAGAACAAAACACCAAATATTTTCATATGGGCCATAAAAAACACAAAACACACACAGACAAAAAGGAGAACCCAAAACGAATGAAATGGCGGCTTGGGTGCAGATTCTTTGGGGGGCAGCATCGTCGGGTATTTGATTTGTGGCACGGCCCGCATTTGCTGCAGCCTGAGGTTATCCCCTCCCTCTTTCCCTCCTTGCCACCTTCCCTCGCTGCTTCTCTTTCGTTTTCTCTCCTTCATTCTCTCTCCTAATGTTTTCCCATATCTGTGGCCATTTTTTATGGCCAGGCATCAGGTCCCGCCGCAGGGCTCCGCTCCGTTTGTTGGCTGTTTGCTGTTTGCTGTCGATGGCCGATGGTCTGTGTCTGTGTGTGTGTGTGTATGTGTGTTCCTCGTATTTCTGTTTCGCTCTTTTGTTTTTTGCAATATTTAGCCAATAGTCCGTGCATTGTTTGAGCAACGCTTTGTTTGTCCTGCCACTGGCACTGCTCCTGTCGTTGCGCGTAAGCCAGCCAAAGATGGAAGCCGTCAAGCATGGAAGCACGCCTGCACGACTGAAGGAATACCCTGGAGTGCAAGGACACTCGATTGGCATTGGGATATATAGCACATCATGTGTATATCTAGTGAAATGAAGCTCCCACACATATCGGTGGAGTGTCTAGGATAAATCTAAGCGGAAGGACAGGCATTTGATCTACATTACCAATGGCAATCTTAAGAATAACTTAATCTACGTGTACAACGATCCCAGGAGTCCCGGAGTTCTCTGGCGTAGTACTGGCAGTGGCGAAGGAGAGGGCGATGCCTTCTCATTAACGCATTTTCATTGCCGATACGCCTCCTTGATGAGCCTCCCTCCTGGATCTGTATCTGTATCTGAATATGGATCTGTCGCTGAATTGTGGACCGTGGATGGTGGATGCTGCTGGAGCGTGCAGTTTATCAATTAGCTGTCCAGAGCAGCAGTTAATTGCCATCCCATTCCACGGGCAACTGGTCGGTCCTCCCCACTTAATGATGAAGGTTGAAGGATGCGAATGGCATGAAGGTTGTGGCTGTGGCTGTGGCTGTGGCTGTGTGGATGGGACTGTTGTGCTGTGATGGTGGACTTACAAACTCCGTTTGCTGGGGACTGGGGACTATCCAGTGCTCGGGATTCGTTGGTATCGCCTCCGCCAGGCACGGATCGAAGCTGGACGGTCGTTTTTTAACAAAGTCTACGGGCAGGCTGTAATCATCACAGATGGCAATCTGCAAAAGATAAAAAAACGGAATAGATGCATGAGTCGGAGGAGTCAGTGGGAGGAAGAGAGAGGGAGGGGCTCGCATGAGTATGCTAAAAATAAATGTTACATAAAACGCATGCCTCACATTGAAGCATGAAGCATTGAGGGAAACAATAACCAGCGCCACAAATTGCACGACACGTGCAGCGCAACACAAGTGTGTGCCGTGCCCCATGCCCCTGCTGCATGCCCCCCTGCTACACTCCCCTGCCCCTGCCCCTGCCACGGCCACAGCCTCAGCAGTGTGCCACAGATGCAGAGTGCTTCAGAGTCTGCTTCTTGCGTCTTGAGTGTTGAGCCAGCGAATGTCTGCGTCATCAAAAGTGCACAACAATGGCTAAATTACAGTTACAATTAAAAATGGCGACGATGCCTTTTCCGCTCCTTGCGTCTCGCTTTTGTTAGGGCTTCCCCCCGCCCCTGCCACTGCCACTGCCCCTGCTCCATTCCCCTGCTGCTAACATCAGATGTAAATGTGGAATGGAAAGCCGCCGATGGATGGATGGCAAAGCAAAGGAATCCTCGAGTATTGCAATTATCGTTAAGTGGGAAAACAAAGGGGCACGGGAGATACAAGAGGGACGCACAGACGGGGACGGGGGGCCAGCAACTCCAGATGGCTTAAAGATTAAAGCCGCCAACGAATGCCCAACGGATTGGTCTCTACTTTCGAGCCACATTTTAGTTTCATTCACATTTCAGTGGGAAGAAGGCGCTCGTACAAGTACAGCTGCCATCGATGCAACGGCTAGAGATCGCTTTACAACACTGAAAATTGCTTCGATTGACAGCTGCAAAGCCTTGCAACGAATTTATTTGTGCATTTTTTGGCGTAATTTCACTTCGAGTTCGCGGAACTAAGAAGCATCGAAAGCAAGTACAGTTGCCACCCAAATGAATAGTCGCAGGTTGCGGGACTGCTGGCAGGAGCCCTGCCAAGTTGAGGGCATGGAAAATGTTAACTGAGTGAGAGCAAAACTAAGTTATGACTCATGCAGCTGGCACTTGGGTTACAGTCAAAGGCAAAGGCGCCTCAAGGTCACCGGGAAGCAGCAGCCGAGGCAGAAGCAACCACTCAGACGACAACCACTCGACAAATTCAATCAGAGCCCAAAGAGATATCCTCTATCTGGTGTAAATCCCAAATCCCAGGACCCAGAGGCAGACAGGCAGACAGGCAGGAGGCAGCAGCCAAGAGACACCTGCCACAGCCCCGCCTTGGCCGCCCTGTTAAATGTCAAGCTTCAGTTTCGAGTCGTACCTCGAAGTACAATTGCAGGCGATAAAGCTGACGACAATTGCGGCAATACCATTCCCATCCAGGAGCCGTGTGGCACGAACCGCAGCCAGGGTTTAGCCGCAGCCCACGCGCTACGGCAGTGGCGTCCCCGGGGACGTCGACACATCTGCGGTGGAATCGCTGGGCACAAGGGCCGAAGCACACCACGGAGGCCGCCTCCTCGCCGACATTAAAATCAATCCAGCAGCGACGACAGAACATGTTGCTAATAATTTCCACGGCTGTCTGCGTGGCTGCCTCTTGCCTCTTGCCGCGCACAGGACTTTGCGAACAGGACACTTAGGAAAATTACAAAAATCTTCCACCGAAAGAAACCGAAAGGAGTAAGACGCGGAGGCGTACTCAGGTGTTGGCATGCGAACGGCAAGCAGTGCACTGAGTGGAGAGCAGAGCCATCCGTTGGATGGGCGGATGGGCGGATGGGAGGATGAAGGACCTGTAACTAGGGCCAATTTCCAGTCCTTTCATTCGCTCTGGCCCCCGGGGGCCATCATTCGAAATAGAAAGGATAGAAAGGAGGCACGCTGTGACGCTGAGACCCACCCGATGGTAGGGTGCCGGTGCAATCCCTGGCTGAGGCACCACTATTAGGTGTGGAAATTCTTCTGGAGGATCGTCTTTTCCAAGGATTTCCAAGGAGAATGGTTTCAAAGGCAAGTTGCACGGCGGGTGGATGCACTGTGTGGCATGGATCCAAGGAGAAACACAGTTGGCAAGACACACCCCGTGGCACACTCTGTGGCATGCCACCAATCAAATGGTGTCATCTGAAATGTACCTACGCTTTCGGTGCCAGCTTTTGCAAGTGAAAGTTGGGTAATACATCGCCCCCTCCACTTCCCCATCCCCTTGATGACTCACTAAGCAGCCACTCAGGCAGCATGCCCCATTCGCCATGCCCCCTGCCCCAGACAGTAGTGATTGCCAAGAGTTGCCAAGAGTCTCATCTCCTTTTTGGCCAGGCATAAATGGGGGCGGCATCGCCTCATTGCCTCCGTCTGGTTGAGTAAATATCATAAATTTTAAAGGCGGCATTAATGTGCAGCCACACTCGTTGCTGCAGCCACAGAAAGCCACAGTGGCAGGTAGCCTTGAGGCAGGCACAGGCCCAGGCACAGGCCATCTACTGTTTCGGTGTCTCCTCCATGGCGCATAACCGCAGGCACTTTGGCACAGCGCCCGCCCTGAAACAAACTGTCTGCACCGACTTGGCTGCAACGTCGCCTCCGTGCCTTCGTTCCGTTCTGGCGCTGCCACATGTTGCCCTTGCAACCTCCTGTGCGGCTTTTGTGTGACACATTCTGGCCATTCGGGCAGGAAATGAAGCTGGTGGCTGCTGTCTGCTGGCTGCTGGCTGGTGGCTGGCATATTGCGGAGATTGCAGTTTCAGTGCCCGCACCCTCCCCCTGCCCCCCACGAACGGAGGAGATGGCAGGGCGTCTTTTGTCCGTCTTCGAGTCCTGGCAGGGCTTTGATTCTTGCTTATTAAAAGGTGGCCACAAAGCAGAGCAGAGAGGCGTCTAAGAATATAAGATAGAGGCGGCAGGACAGGTGCAGACAACCCATTCTGCACCAAGAGGCACTGCTTCCTTGAAGAGGCACCCGTCCATCCCGTGGTGCTTTTATTTCGAAGATCTATCTGCCAAAAGGCAATCCAATCGTTTCTCTCTCTCTCTGCGTGCAGCACTTTTGGGGCATCTGCTGGCCGCATCCGTAATCCATGGCATGGTATGGCATGGCCCTAATCCAGATGTTGGCTTCGCTAATTGGCAACAAATCCAGGCCGCCTTTGACCTTTGCCGTCGCCTACTCCTCCTCCTTATTCCGCCGGCTGTTTCGATGGACTGATTGAGTGATTGATTAATCGATTGGCTGCCCTCCGCCCTCCGCCCTCCTGCCCCCTGCCGTTCCGCTTTCGTTGCTCGTCCGGCGGCTCGATTGATTGATTAGTCGGTGGGTGGCTTGAGGCCACACGGGCTAAGGGCTAACAGGGCTAAGGGGGCTAAGGGGGCTAAGGGCCACTTTCAATTACCAATTACCAACAAGGCTGACGCACACC